CACCCAAACATTGAGCTAAACAAAAAGGGCTCCAAGTTAAAACAGAGCTGAGAGCCCAGTCATTGGAGGGTTACAGAGGATTATGTTTGACTAGCCAGGTGTGCCCCAAAACCACTTGGGCGGTGGGTGAGTGAATAAGGAGAAAACAGATCTCCTCGACATGATTGCCGGAGAGCGTGAGTGTAACAAACATAGTAGCATGGGTTGCTACTATGCTTCAAGGGATTTCACCTTGAAGTGCGCAGCCTTAAGACTTTTCCATCTGTTTTTGATTTGGTCAAGTGACCGGTTTATACCTGTTACCTTCATTTTTTCAAATACCTGCTTGAAGAGCTTGTTATTGCGTGACTTACAACCATCTAGTCTTGCAACTATGTTTTCTTCTTTTAAAATATTAAGCAATAACGTGGTTTCTCCAGCAGACCAATTTTGCTTGGTGCCCACCATCTTGCCTAGGACAACATCCTGCGCCATACGTCATTATGCGATTTTTACATCATTGCACATGCGCAGAAATTTCTAGTTTCATTTTCAATCCGATGAAATGCTTACATGTCCTCTCAATCGTATTAGTAAAGGTTTAAACCACCCCTTACAATCCGAACGAAATTTTAATCAGATTTGGCCAATTCATTCCGATTGATGTGTTTACATGCCACTTTTTAAATCTGATTGTGCTTATAGTCCTATTACAATCAGATTATTAGGGTCCATGTAAATGCAGCTACTGAGCCTCCTGCACCCTTTTTCGGTGTAGGCCGGGGCTCGCAACAAGAAGACCAGTCACTGTTGTCGTAGCACTACCCACTCAGTGAGATTGGGCAGTCTGAAACAGTTTAGCAAGCCGACACTAAACCAGGGCCTCTCAGTGCTTCTACCCGTTTGAGGTGAGAACACAGGAGGATACCGGCTCAACATGAAGGCTATAGAATTGTGTTGGGTCACCCAGCCCACAGCTCTACAAATATCTGTCAATGAGGTGCCATGAGCCAGCGCCCAGGAGGATGCAACACTCCTAGCAGAGTGAGCTTGCAATCTGAGCAGGCAGGGCACACCCTGTGCCTGATAGGCCAGGGTGATGGCATCCACTATCCAGTGGGCCATCCTCTGCTTAGAGACGGCATTCCCTTCTGCCAGCCTTCGTAACCGACAAAGAGCTGATCTGAGGTCCTGAAGCTTTGTGTCTGGTCCACGCACCATCATAAGGCGCAGGCGGGGCAGAGCAAAGCTAGGGCTGGGTCTGCCTCCTCCGGGGGCAGCACTTGCAGGTTCACAACCTGATCCCTGAAAAGGGTAGTAGGAACCTTGGGTACATAGCTGGGCCGGGTCCTCAGAGTTACCTGGGAGTCAGCCGGCCCAAACTCTAGGCACGATTCGTCGACCGAAAATGCGTGCAGGTCCCCTACCCTCTTGATGGAGGCCAATGCAACCAGGAGCAGAGTTTTCATTGAAAGAAACTTTAGCTCGAATGGCTCAAATGGACCCTGCTGCAGTGCTCTGAGCACCAGAGTCAGGTCCCAAGAGGGTATAGAGGGAGGACGAGGAGGATTCAACCTTCTCGCCCCCTAAGAAACCTGATGATCAGGTGATGCTTCCCTACCGACTTCCCCTCCACGGGGTCGTGATAAGCAGAAATAGAAGTGACATAGACTTTAAGGGTGGAGGGAGACAGCCTTCGATCCAACCCTTGCTGCAGAAAGGAAAGCATGACTCTGAATGGGCATCTCCGGGGGTCTTCTCGGTGAAGAGAACATCACTCGACGAACAGGTTCCACTTCAAGGTGCAAGTGTGTCTCGTAGACGGTGCTCACGCCAAAGTGATGGTGTCTGCTACCTCTTGAGGTAGATCACCTAGAACCTCCGTGTCCCATCCAGGGACCACACATGGAGTTTCCAGAGGTCCGGACGTGGGTGCCCTGTCTCTTGAGTCAGTAGATCCTTCCTCAGAGGAATCTGCCAGGGATGGGCTGTCACGAGGAGCATTAGTTCTGGGAACCAGGTCCGGTTGGGCCAATAGGGCGCAACGAGCAAGACAGTGCATCCGTGCCGAGTGTTCCCTCAGTCAGGGAGTAGAACAGCTGGCAGTGAGAGGTTTCTGGAGAGGCAAACAGGTCTACCTGAGCAGCTCTGAAACATCTCTAAATCAGCTGGACCATCCGGGGATGAAGTCTCCATTCTCCCGAGAGCGCAGCTCATGCAAGCTCGTCGGCCGCACGGTTGAGCAGACCCGGAATGTGAATGGCACGAAGTGACCTCAGAAACTTCCAACTCCAAGGAAGAGATCGTGGGCGAGCTGCAACATGCGACGGGAGCACAGACCACCTTGTCGGTTGATGTACACAACAGTTGCAGTGTTGTCTGTATGGACCAGTGCGTCCTTACCTCGTAAGCGCCCTTTGAGACAATTCAAGGCAAGGCGCACCGTTAACAACTCTAGGCAATTGATCTGCCACTGCAGTTGGGGGCCGTCCACATACCCGACGCTGCTTGTTCTTGTTTATTTATTTATATAGCACAGTTTAATGCAACACCATGTTGCCCAAAGTGCTTCACAATATCACAATCAACTTACATAAAAACAAGCATAGTCACAAATAACAACACAAATCACATAACAACATGGACACAATTTAAAATAACTAAACCTGCATCACAACAACTCCTCATTAGTCTTTAAAAGATGTGCTTTTAACACAGCTTTGAAAACCGGTAGTGAGTTAAAGGATCTAATACTATGAGGGAGGTCATTCCACAGTTTTGGACCAGCTCGCGAAAAGGCTCTATCTCCCCTGTGTTTGTATTTTGTCCTAGTAACACAAAGGTGGTGTTGATTTTCGGGCCTCAGAGATCTCGTAGCGATATAAACTGATATAATACTTGACAAATACCCAGGGGCTAAATTGTGAAGGGCCATAAAAATGAAAATAAGAATACAATAAATTATTTTAAGCCGTCCCGGCAGCCAATTTAGTGACGCAAGTAATGTAGTGACTGAGTCATGTTTTTTTGCAGACTTAATCATTCTCGCTGCTGCGTTCTGGATTCTCTGTAGGTGCCACAGTGCACCACAATCAACTCCAAAATAAAGGGAGTTACAGTAGTCCATTCGAGTGAAAACGATAGCCGTAATGGCTTTCTCCAAATCAGTGGTAGATAAAAACGGTTTTGTCTTCGCTAATAGACGTAAATGAAAAAAACTAGATCTCACCACTGTGTTTATTTGCCTGTCCATCTTTAATTCACTATCCAGAACGAAGCCCAAGTCTTTCACATGGGTTTTCATAAAGCCAGCCAGGTGTGTTGAATTTAAACACTGAGTCACTTCTTGATTCTTAGGGCCAAAAACAATAACCTCAGTTTTATTTTCATTAAGCAACAAAAAATTAGCAGCCATCCACGCCTTTACCTCCTGTAAACAAGCTACTAACACCTTTATGGAATCTGGGTTTGACTCTCTCACGGGTAGATAAATCTGAGTATCATCTGCATAGCAGTGGAATGATACTTTGTGTTTTCGAAATATAGCCCCCAAAGGCAGCATATAGAGGGAAAACAGCAACGGCACCAAAATTGACCCTTGTGGAATTCCCCAAGGAAAATATAATCTTGAAGAATTACAGTTCCCAACTCTCACTGAAAAGGACCTATCCGTAAAATAAGATTCAAACCATTTCAGCACATTGCCTTTTAGGCCGCTCCAATGTTCAAGGCGCTCAATTAAAATCTTATGGTCTAGGGCTGCACGATAAATCGCATGCGATATTTAACGCGCATCTCATCAGTAAAGCCGGTTCTTTAATCAGCGGTAAATCTCCATCACCTGCGAGCTTTCACATGGAGCAGCATTAACTACACAGAGCCGTTGTTCAC